TGTAAGTCCTTACACTTCATCACTTTTAATATTTCGTGCCAATCCCTTCTGGCCTGCAACGTTTCTGTTGAGAAATCAGCTGACAGCCTTATGGGAGCTCCCTTGTAGGTAACTGCTGCTGCTTTTAAGATTCTCTCTCTGTCTTTAACCTTTGGCATATTAATTATGATGTGTCTTGGTGTTGGCCTTTTTGGGCTCATCTTATGTGGTACTCTGTGCTTCCTGGACTTGTATGTCTATGACTTCCTTTACCAGGTTAAGGAAGTTTTCTGTCATTGTTTCTGCAAATAGGTTTTCAGTTCCTTGCTTTCTCTATTCTCCTTCTGGTATCCCTATGATGCGAATGTTGGTAGGCTTGATGATTTTCCAGAGGTTCCTTAAACTATCCTCATTTTTTTGGATTCTTTCTTCTTTTTCCAATTCTGATTGAGTATTTTCTGCTACCTTATCTTCTAAATCACTGATTCAGTCCTCTGCTTTGTCTAATCTGTTGATTCCCTGTAATGTATTCTTCATTTCAGTTATTGTAGTCTTCATTTCTTACTGGCTCTTTTGTGTTTTCTATCTTCATTTTTATGTTTCTTATCTCTGTTGAAGTTCTCACTGAGATGATTGAACAGCCTTATAACCAGTGTTTTGAACTTTATGTCTAGTAGATTACTGGTCTCCATTTTGTTTAGTTCTTTTTCTGGAGCTTTGTTCTGTTTTTTCATTTGGGACATGTTTCTTTGTCACCCCATTTTGCTGTCTCCGTGTTTGTTTCTGTGTTTTAGGTAGGGCTGCTGTGTCTCCTGGCCTTGTAGTAGGTGTCCTGTGGGGCCAGTGTGCAGTCTTTCTGGTCACTTGAGCCAGGTGTTCCAGGTGTGTCCCTTGTGTGGGTTGTAGTTGAGGCATGTTTGCTGTTTACAAGGCAGTGGGAGAGATTGACTTGTGCTGAAAAGTTGTGAGGACTGGCTTGACTGCAGAGGAGGAGCTGTTGTCTAGGGGCTGACCCTGTGGAGCAGGATTCACTTTTAAGGGCTCCGATGTGTGCCCATTCTGCCCTTTGGATGTATTATCTGCAGCTGGGTGGTGCTCTGGCTTGGTCTGGGTGTGCTGGCCCTGGGGCTTTCTGTGAGGGGTCCTGCCCCAGTCCAAGTTTAGCAGCAGTCTGTTTACTACCTGGGGCCACCTGGCATGAGCCCTAAAGCAATCTGCCAATAACCGCCACCTACGCTGGGCTTGGAGGTGCCTCAAGAAGACAAGCCATGAACCGAGGCCAGCTGCCACTAGTGCCAGGTGTGCGGCTGCTCAGCAAGAGGTACAGAGCACACTGAGGCCAGATACTGCTTGTTTTGGGTTTTGTGAACTTTTAAGAGATTTTAGGAAAGTCTCCAACATGAGCCAAAACAGCCTGTTTATATGGAAAAGCCACTGGAAGCAGCTTGGGTGGGCCTGTAAGTTGAGTGGGGTGGGGTCTCAGGGAATCATCAGGATGAGGTGAACAATGTTAGCCAGGTTGATGGAGACCCAGATATGGCGGCCACCTGCATTGCTCACGGGACAGGGGGAGGGCTCACAAAGAAACAATGGATTCTGCAAGCACTTGTTTCTGGGAGAAAGCTGCCCTTCCAGCCTTCGCCCTAAAGCCAGACAATTCAGTTCCTCCACATATGTCCCTGGCACCTTTCAAGCTGCTGCCCCAGTGCTGGAGCTCAGAGCCAGTGAGTCCATCAGTGAGTAAGTCCTTACTAGGCCCCTTAAGAGGAGTGCCTGGGACTCCACCAGGCCTTTGTCTCACTCACCCACAATCTCTGCTGGTTTTCACAGCCAGAAGCTGTGGGGACTTCTCTTCTAGGCACTGGAACCCAGGGCTGGAGAGCCTAGTGTGGGGTTGGGACCCCTTGTTCGTCCAGAGGTACCTCCACAGCCAAGATATCCTTCTTAATTTTTAACCATCACATGCAGGTGAAGGACCAGCCCGTTCTGTGTCTCTGCCCCTCCTACCTGTTTCAAGGTGGCTTCTGTATGTCCTTAGTTGTAGGATTTATGTTGAGCTAGACTTCAGGCAGTTCTCAGTGATGGTTGTTCTGTAGTTCAGTTGTAATTTTGATGTGATTGTGAGATGAGGCAAGCACAGCATTTTAGTACCCCGCCATTTTGACTGGAAATCCAAGGTCAAGATTTAGTTCTTTGTTTACTTCTAATAGTTTTAATTCTCACATTTTGGCCTATGAACCATTTCGAGTTGATTTTTATATAATGATGTGACGTAGAGGTTTAACTCCATTCTTTTGTTATGTGGGTATCAAATTGTCCTACCACGTTGCTGAAAAGACTATTCTTTCCCCATTGAAGTGTTTTGGCACCAGTGTTGAAAATCAGTTGACCATAAATGTAGGGTTTATTTCTGGACTCTCAGTTCTTTTCCTTGATATATATGTCTATCTGTAGGCCATTATCACAGTTACCTTTCCTATTATTGTAGCTTTGTAGTAAGCGTTGAAATTTGGAAGTGTGAGTCTCCGTACTTAGTTTTTCTTTTTCAAAGATCGTTTTGCCAATTTTGGATATCTTGCATTTTCATATGAATTTTAGGATCAGGCTGTCAATTTCTGCTTTGACTGTGTAGATCAACTTGGGATGTATGAGGTATTACCATCCTAGCAATATTATCCTTTCTCACTTTTGAGAAATGACTTTAATTTCTGACCTTAATGATCTCTATCATCTACATTCTTTATTTCAAAATATATACCAATTCTTACTTCCTTTAAAAATATCTGTACTCTCCTTCCTTTTTCATGCTAGTCTATCTGAGATCTTGTTCTTTTGATTATTCACCATAATATTTATTTCAGTGTTCATATTCAGTTTTTTATTTTAATGTCCCCTTCCTCTCTGCCTTCAAATAAATAAGTCTCCCCATCCTTAACAATATTTACTCTTGAGTGAATGCCTCCTAGCTATTATTCTCATCTCCTTTTTCCCACTTCTTTAACTTCCAAACTTCCTTAATAGGTAGTCTTCTCTTCCAGCTTCCATTACCTCATTAGTTATTCACTCATTAACCCATTCACCAAGTGTCTTACCTTTTCTGGACTTCAGTATTTCTTTTTTGTAAAATAAATGAATTGATGTTTATTAGTGGTATCACACTCTCATTTTAGCCTCTGAGCCCTTGGAGGCCTCACTCAGAGCTCCAGTATACAGAAGTGGAGCTATTCTCTCCTGAATTTTGGATAGCAGACTTAGAGCCATTTGCCACACCAGCATCAGTCTTTGGAGGATGAAACCCCCAAGGCTACAGTTTGAAAGTTACTGCAAAGTTACTTCAGCCCTAAAATTTGGTAACTCTATAGCAATTACCGAAGTTATGTTTTTGAAAGTTTAAAATAATTTACTTGTTGCCAAATTAAATTCTCTTTTTAGGCCCCATTTCTCCTATACATTTTATAATATCTAAACCCTTAGTTGCTCTGCTTTTCCCCACTAAATTTTCTTTCGTTGGCTTTAATCACATATACACAATCTCTTTAGGTGGGACTCAGCTTAGATTCTAACACTTCAAGAAGCTTTTCCAAGTCATACCAGCTCCTAGTGACATTTTTTTCTACTAATAAGCCAATAATAATTTATGCCATCCATTTGAGACTTAAAAAATTACACAAAATATTTTGAGTTACATAAAGATAACTTAGGCCCAGATTCTGACCTAAAGAAATGTAATCTACTAGACGAATAGAGATGTACAAAATAATTATTGAGATGAAAGTAATGAGTGCTATAGGAGAGGTACCAGATGAAGTTCTATGGAAATTTAAAGAAGATAAAGATAACTTTCCCCTGGGAGAATAGGGAAAAGTATCCCAAAGGATATGGGGTTGGATCTTGAAGGGAATGTAGTACCTGAACACAGGTAAGCATTCCTAACTGAAGGAGCGGTGTGAATCAGTGCAGACGTGGAAACACCCAAGAGGGTAGGTATTTTGATTTGGTTGGAGGACAAGGTCAAGAGAAGTAGTGGGATATAAAATTGTAGCGGTAAACCACAGCTGGACATAGTTTTGTTAGTTGTCTCTTTATCATAATTAATGTATTAAACTCTTTGAAGACAAGTAGTATGTTTTTTAACCTCCTATGGCAGAATTATGGGTAGAGGAGATATATTTAGTAAAATTTTGTTGAATGTATGAAAGGTAGAAACAGTTTCCCAAACAAGCATTTTTCAAGGTAACTTCTGTTTACTTATCCGTAAAAGCTGTTTTAGATCTTCATAGTACTGGTTCCTTATCACTAAGAGGTCTTTATGAGATTAAAAAAAAAAAAAATGGGGGTGGGGGTTGTGTGTCCAGTTAACAGCGCTCAGTTTTTTTCATTCCCAAAAGTACACTAGAAATGTTGGTTTAAGTTGAGAAAAATAGAATCAGTATGAACAAACAAACCTTTTGAAACTTAGTCTCTACTCAGAGCTCTTTTTATGTTTTAATAAATTAGATTTTAAAGAATATTTTCCTAGGATTCATATTTCATTTAACTACAAATAATTTTTAAAAGAAATGAATTAAAAAGGTTGTACCTAAGAATTGTGTTGGACTGTATATGGATAACATTTCTCTTTTCAAAAAATTTTTTAAAATATTACTTTGCATGATTGAAAATAAGATTAGAAACATCAGCTACTCTACTGAAACAATGTTCATGTTGCTGTAAATTCCTGGCACTACTGGTCTCCATGGAAAGAGTATGTCATGTACACGTATCCTTTAAAGGCAGGGAAATTGAGTATGCCTGCTTTCAGCTTTTTCTTTTCAGTAGCATATGCCAAACTCTTTCATTTTTATAAAGCAAAATGTTCTTGAAAAATTAAATTGGAAGATATCTTTAGTATGAGATATTGTCATTTAAAAAGAGTAAATATGTCAACTCTCAAAAGCCATTTATTTAGAGATTGTTGTGGTAAAGTAATTCATTATTTTATAATATTTGTTTTGTTTTAAACTTTCTATATCATGTACTAGGTGAAAAACCATTTCGCTGTGATGAATGTGGCATGAGATTCATACAAAAATATCATATGGAAAGGCATAAGAGAACTCATAGTGGAGAAAAACCTTACCAGTGTGAATACTGTTTACAGGTAAGAGGTGGTTTGAAATTCTTTTTCTTTTTTTTTTAATCCAGTTTGTTGAGCTATGAACACTTGAAAATTCTTCTGTCCTAAATTAAATCATAAAGTAATTCTAATAAATTAGAAATTTACTACTATAACTGTTTGAAGACTTCCCAACTGTTGTTGATTAGATTCATAATATTGGCTCAGCAAATTAGTTTGGAATTGCTCATATTTTTATATTTATCTTTATATTAATTGCTTTTTTCTTTTCTTTCCTTTTCTTTTCTTGATTGATCAAAAATACCAACTAAAATTAAAAACTCACTACCAAACTCTGAATTCGACAGTATTTTTCCAGAACAGATCGTGTATTGAAACATAAACGTATGTGCCATGAAAATCATGACAAAAAACTGAACAGATGTGCCATCAAAGGTGGCCTTCTGACATCCGAGGAAGATTCTGGCTTTTCTACGTCACCAAAAGATAACTCACTGCCAAAAAAGAAAAGGCAGAAAACCGAGAAAAAATCATCTGGGATGGACAAAGAGAGTGCTTTGGACAAATCTGACCTGAAGAAAGACAAAAATGATTACTTGCCTCTTTATTCTTCAAGTACTAAAGTAAAAGATGAGTATATGGTAGCAGAGTATGCTGTTGAAATGCCACATTCTTCGGTTGGGGGATCGCATTTGGAAGATGCATCAGGAGAAATCCATCCACCTAAGCTGGTTCTCAAAAAAATTAACAGTAAGAGAAGTCTGAAACAGCCACTGGAGCAAAATCAAACAATTTCACCTTTATCCACATATGAAGAGAGCAAAGTTTCAAAGTATGCTTTTGAACTTGTGGACAAACAAACTTTACTGGACTCAGAAGGCAATGCTGACATCGATCAGGTTGATAATTTGCAAGAGGGGCCCAGTAAACCTGTGCATAGCAGTACTAATTATGATGATGCCATGCAGTTTTTGAAGAAGAAGCGGTATCTTCAAGCAGCAAGTAACAACAGTAGAGAGTATGCGCTGAATGTGGGTACCATAGCCTCTCAGCCTTCTGTGACACAAGCAGCTGTGGCAAGTGTCATTGATGAAAGTACCACAGCGTCCATATTAGATTCACAGGCATTGAATGTGGAGATTAAGAGTAATCATGACAAAAATGTTATTCCAGATGAGGTACTGCAGACTCTATTGGATCATTATTCCCATAAAGCTAACGGACAGCATGAAATATCATTCAGTGTTGCGGACACAGAGGTGACTTCTAGCATATCAATAAATTCTTCAGAAGTTCCCGAGGTCACCCAGGCGGAGAATGTTGGATCAAGCTCCCAAGCTTCCTCATCAGATAAAGCCAACATGTTGCAAGAATACTCCAAGTTTCTGCAACAGGCTTTGGACAGAACTAGCCAAAATGATGCCTATTTGAATAGCCCGAGCCTTAACTTTGTGACTGATAACCAGACCCTTCCAAATCAGCCAGCATTCTCTTCCATAGACAAGCAAGTCTATGCAGCCATGCCCATCAATAGCTTTCGATCAGGAATGAATTCTCCACTAAGAACAACTCCAGATAAGTCCCACTTTGGACTAATAGTTGGTGATTCACAGCACTCATTTCCCTTTTCAGGTGATGAGACAAACCATGCTTCTGCCACATCAACACAGGACTTTTTGGATCAAGTGACTTCTCAGAAGAAAGCTGAGGCTCAGCCTGTCCACCAAGCTTACCAAATGAGCTCCTTTGAACAGCCCTTCCGTGCTCCTTATCATGGATCCAGAGCTGGAATAGCTACTCAGTTTAGCACTGCCAATGGACAGGTGAACCTTCGGGGACCAGGGACAAGTGCTGAATTTCCAGAATTCCCCTTGGTGAATGTAAATGATAATAGAGCTGGGATGACATCCTCACCTGATGCCACAACTGGCCAGACTTTTGGCTAAAAAAAAATGTGTAAATAATACTGGCACTTTAAAACAGATTAATCAAGAGTAGGGTTACTCTGTGTAAAATGGAGTGCTGTACAGATTTAAGAGCAATGCGATATAACAAGCTGATATGAATAGCAAGATAATCCAATAACTGCATTTTGTTTGGTTAGCATTCTTTGAACTGCCTTACATGTTGTCACCTTTATAGAAGCAATGCATTACTTGTTTTAGATCAGAAACTTGCTATTCCACCTACACGTTTAAAAGGAAAACAAAAAGACTTTCGCACAATTGTTTCCTAACTGATAACATTGTACATTCTTAGGAGATTAGTAATTGTGTGAAATTTACTCATACTGTTTAAGTTTTTCAGCATAGTCATCGCACTTCAGCAGGGAATCTGAGTATACTTTACAGACAGAGTGAACTTAAAAGTTTAAATGTCAAGAGATTATGGCTTAAATAAATTAGTGTGTCCTATAAGGGGAAAAGAAACCACCTTTTAAAAAGAATGATATGCCATATACCCTTGATTTTCATTATATTGACATGGTTTTTTTTTGTTTTGTTTTTTTTGTTTTGTTTTGTTTTGTTTTGAGAAAAAAGTAATAAAAACCTGATAGTCTAAGACTCCACTATTTAAAAGCCTAATTACTTTTAAAATATGCATACTTTCAAAACTTTTACCAAAATACGTAACTGTTGAAGCATTCTCTTCTATGGAAGTATGCATATTGGTGTCAGTTTCTTTGTACAGTTGTACCTAGATATTTTTTATGATTTTTCATGTGCAGGTATCAAGATTTTGAAGTTTTAGTAAGAAGATATTCTGTAGATTACATTCCCAAGAACATAATGCTTACACAAAATGTATATTCCACGTTTTAAAGCTTAATTGTATTTTACTTTACATATACACTTCAGTTAACATAGAGCACTTAGAATCTATTTGGTATTTTTGATTTCTCAAAGTACAAAGAAAATTTAGATTTTTAGGTTGATATGGTTGTGTCATAATCATCTCATAATTGACAATTTAATTTTTGGCAATAAAAAGAAATTGGGTATCTTTGGAACTGTAAAACCTGGTTTAATCCTTTTCTTTTTAGAATATTGGTAGATTGGATAATTAAGCAGTATCCAGAGAAACTAAAGAAATGGGCATTTTAATTGCTTATTTTATCTTGAGTTACTTTTAATGAACACTGCTCATTACAATTTTATAAACCAAAAGTGTTTACTAATTCTAGTAACTACAATTTCTTTTTCAGCTAGATGAGTGATCGGAAACTTTTTGTTGCATTTCAAATCTAAATAAACTACAGAATTTATCCTTATACCACGAATGTTTTTTTTTTTTAATACTTTGTCTTAAAATAATACAGCATGGTACAATAAATAGTGCTTTTATATATACATATATATATATCTATACTTTTCTGAAGAATGATGGTTTGAGTTACACATTGGACAGTTTTAATTTTTGGAAATAACATTAGTTTTATTGATTTTATTATCCTATTTAATTTGTTCCAACTTTTTTGTTTTATTTTAAATTTCTGCCATCTTTGTCACAATGCACATACTGATATAGCACCAGTGATATCTAATACCCTTGGAAAATGAAACTATGTTGTTAATTTCCACTTTAACTTTTATATGGGCCCTATAGATCTGTAATCTTTCAGTATAGAATGTTATACATTTAAATTATTTTTTTTCTTTTATTTAATGTTATCCCAAGACTGTTCTCATAAAGAAGGGAACAAAGATATATCCACTGTTAACATCCTTTACACTTATTTTGAACATACTGGTGTTTTAATGATAAGGAATATAAATTATCTTTAATGTGGTTTTCTCTACACTTTGGTTATTAAGCTTTGCTTGAAAGATTCATTTTTCTATTTGACAGCTTTCTTTGCTGCCAAATTTTTCAAGAATTTTAGACTTCTTTGAAGTAGATGTTTAATTTCTGCCATTATTGATTCTTAAGAATGGTGTGTGTTTTTGTTGCACATCACAATTGCAGGAAGGCTTCATTCAGGTGAGGGGTTAACAATGGAACTGTGCTCTCCTTAGGTAGGCGTTTGTAGTTTTCTCATACTACTATTTGATGATATAGTAGGACTTGATTTCCTGAATTGGTTTTTTTTTTTGAGCCTGATCAAAAATTTTGCTCTATTGAGAACTTGGTGTAGTTCTTGGTACAGTACAAAGTTTTTATTTGTTTTAACATCACCTGCACAGTTTTTAGAATGTGACTCCACTGCTGAGCAATTAGGGCAAGCTAAGGAAGGAAGGCCTTTGAAAGTGGTAGTTACACAAGCAGAATTTCAGGTGTTGCATTCCTGTCTTCAACACATTTATTTAAATCTGTATAATGGCAGACATTTCTACCACATTATAAGCATTTTTTAGATAAGTGATACTTTGGCATAACTTATTGACCTACCCTTTAAGTATAGTTATTCTCTAACTGTGAAATTCTAAATGCCTACCAGAGTTACCTTGTATTATTGTCATATGACAAACATCTCAACATTTTGGGTTTCCCAATTTGGTTTAGAAAGTTACTTAATTTCTGTATGGGCATTAACAGAGAAAGCGAGCAAGTAGCCTTCTGTGCTGCTTTAGATCAGAATATTGAGGATATGAGATATCCTTTTGGAATTTGTGTTTTCTTACTATCAGTGAGCAAATTGTTCCATTAAAACATACTCTTATACCCTTAAACTTTTGATCAATGTGAATGAGGTGTGCTTTTTCACTTAGGACCTACTCTCACGTTTGAAGGTTGGAAACAAATCACTTTAGATGAGGTAACAACATCTCTTGAGCAGCTTCTAAAAGCTTTTTTTTTTTTTTTAACTTATTGCACACATATTTTGTTTGGTTTAGAATATTTGAGTGGCTCTTACATTTTTTGGATCTACTTGCAAATCTTCTACTTGATGCCATAGAAACGCATCCTTTTAGCTCTGGCTGACGACTGTCCATGGCCAGATAACTTTCTCTCTTTGAGAGGTAAAAGAGGCCTTGTGCTCAGGGTAGGCTTTCATTTCGACAGGTGAGAGAAACTTGCAAAGTGCCAGCTAGGTTAGATCTTTTGCCACTTCTTTCATTTTATTAATTTGGGTTTTTAAAGGGCTGTTTAAAAAAAAAAAAAAGCCGGGAAACTTTAAAAGTAGGCATTATTGTAGTACTACATTTCTTAGACTTAGAACATTTTAAACTAGAACTCGTTCTTTTCACAGTATATTTACTTGAAGAAGCACTATTATAATCAATGAGAAACTTTATGACTCTGCAATTTAATTTAAGCCTTTTCCGTTTCAAATTACTTTATTTCAGGGAAATAATTTTCCAGTTGTTTTTGCTATATTCTGCAAATAAAAACCGTATGTTTCCTTTATTCACTTAAATTTCAGTAGGAAACAAACTAAAGCAGACAAACATTTCTTGTTGTGTTTGTTGCTTTCTTTAATCCAATGGATAAAAAAGTAAAACCCTGTAAACATTATTTTATTTTTTTATGCAATACCATGCTGTAAATATGGTTCATCAAATAAGGATGTACCTATGATTGAATCTTTAATTCTGCACAGTTAGAGTTTATATATAAACGTGTCTTGACAATCAAGGACTTTTATGTGAGTCTTCCTTTATGATGTTTATTAATGTTATGCATTCCATTTGTTTTGAAGTGAGTACCAATGTGCTAATTTGTATTGTCTGAAAGTATGTAATGTTTTTACAGCTTGTTTTTAAGAATCTGTAAATATGTACAAACAAATCACAGTACTGCTTTATGTTAGAAGGCATATGATGTTGTACTGTATGTAAGCAATAATACATAGCAGTGCTAACTTTACAAGTAGCATCAGGAAAGTTCTAAAAACATTTCAGAGTTATTAATTATCCTTATTTCCTTTAATAATGATTATCTTTAATCAGTTTTTATAAGCAAATTCCATTGTTCCTCCTTTTGGAACGTAACACTGTTTACACAGCATAATTGAAGTTGCAGGGGAGACAGGCTAAATCTGACTTCATCTGTACTCATTTTCACTAAGCATTGAATGGCCTTACCACTCTTCTGCAAGATGGAGGAAGACCGCAAAACTTAGTGCCCATCACACTGAAGGAAGGGGTTTTGGTTTGGTTTTTTTTTCCTGCTTCTGTACTGCTACCTAATCTTGTTGTTTGCTTTTCAATTTTAATATTTGTTTCTGTTTTAGATTCAAGCCCGTAAGTTTTGAGGTGACTTCAGCTCTATTGTGAAATAGTTCTCTTCATATTTCAGATCTACATTTCAATGGTCCTAAACTTTCTACTTTGATTTTTAGATTCTTATTTTTCAAACTTGATTTCTCAGCTGATCAGCTGAATTTATTCAACTTCAGTACAAAGAAAGATAAACCTATTGTAGTTTGAATTGAGTAGATATACTGTACAGAACAGCTAACTATTTGAACACACACATCACTGCTTTAGAAATAAAACCGCCAATTTTTAAATGTATATGACCTACATTTTATAGGATAAATGTTTTTAAATGCTAGTCATTTATATAAATGTGCTTTGAAGGATTTGCTAGTTCACTTCTGTCACTTTTTAGTACACTGGTATCTTTTATATGTAATGTATGCTTTTTATTGTAGCAAAGCATTTCAGTAGAAAGAATTTTGCAACAATATGGGGGAAATTTTTCATGGTTGGATTTGAATTATACTGGATTTTATCTGTGTGGTCTTGTCTTTATTTTAACGCTGTCTGGAAGGGAACTTGGTATCCAAATAAAGCAGGTAACCTCATTTTAGTTCAAGGGCATACTGTGTAGTGCTGAATTTAATCTGGAAATCTAATGATTTTGAAGAGAAGCAAGTTTATAAAAATTGTACAGGAGATACTAAATGTGTAATGGAAATCCTGATGGTGGAGCACGTTGAATTTTCTGATCTATAGTGTTATTTTCTTGGGATCTCCTATGCCTTCTTTGTATTTCAACTAATAAAGGAAAAAACCCTGTCAATGAAACTGGTAGGATAATAGGATATTCTGATTATACAGTATTACTTTTCCTATCCCATTTTCTAACCCTTTCTCAATCACTGTAAATTTTTATTTTCTATTTCCTATTGATAATTAAACATGTACAGAATATAGACACTGTTGTATAGAATTGAATGAATTGAATTGCCATGCTTGAATGGGTAACTAAGTGGAAATATTATGGATACTGAGAATTCATAAAATGCCAGAACAAATTTACAGGAAAAAGGGAGGTATCATGTGTCATGGGAAGGTCACAGCAAATGTTTGTTTAACCTTCTATGAAATAAATTAGAAACAACTACAAACTTCGTATCTGATACAAATGGGTCTTTCGTCCCCACCTCCCCCCAAATATATGAGCACTAAATTTTAAAATCTACTCAGGTGAAAATTGCTTTGCAATGAGATTTATCACATTGAAATTTTCACTGTTAAATACAATAAAAAACATATTTGTAATATTTTTAAATACAAACTTTCATATCAGTAAGCAGCCTGACAATTGAAATTCAGTAAGTCAATATATTTTAGAATATATTTTACCTTCCAAATAGAATTGTTTTTAAACAATTGGGAGGATTTCTTTTTGATTAAATGCATTTTTTAATTGTCATTATAAAAATAAAGTCATGCTTGACCCCATATTATGCCATGAATGAATTGCTGAGCCTTTATAATACAATGAAAGCTTTTTTCATGAATAATCGTGGAACATGGAAAAGTTCTTTAAACTGACCTATTAAGAGATTTAATGAGTTCGCAGCTTCTGGCATTATTGTCATGTAGTTAACCTTGCCATTTAGAGTTTATACCATTTTATGTATTGTGATGCTAAAGGAAATTGTTTTGTTTTATTTTTCATTGAATTATTAGACTAATTTATATTTGCAAATTCTGCATTTTAAATGTGGACACTGGCTGTTTGAAAAATAAAAAAAAAATACAGAATACAATTTTATGAATAATTTCCTAGCTGAATTTTTCACAATATTCTGAACCAAATAACTAATGGTAAGCCTTTAAAAACGGTGGTACGTAAATTAATACTAAAAAGAGAAAAGGATGTCCATGGAATTAACAGTTTGTTACACATAATTGGGTAACAATTAGCAGGCCTTTACTGTAGCTTTGTGTGGAATGTTATTTATTAGGCAGTGCTAAAATGCAGGCGTCAAATGTTACTGTCCAGTATTTTAGACTTGAAATATGTTTAACGTAGATGTAAGGATATATGTGATTTTTTTTTCCTTTACAGATAAAATTCTATTAACCTATTGTGGATTTCTTTTCCCCGTTAGTGAAGGTAGCTTCATTTTCATCCATTTACTACCTTGCCAGTCCCATCTTGTGACCAGTGGGACTGTTTGGGGACATTGTAAGAAAGCTCTGGAGTTAGGAGTGCAGTCCGGGTCCTTGGGACAAATATAAAGTAATTGGCCTTTGCAGAAACTAACCCTAGGACCCCGGCTTTACCAGCATGGTGCTTTAGCCAACTATCCATAATAATACCACTGATGTCTGCTAATCCATTTCCTAGATCCCAGTTTTTCTTGAATGATCAAGAATAGTAGGGAGGGGTCGGGAAATACTCTGCATGGTACTTCTCCCACCTTTCGATGGTTGCAAGGAGAAAGTTGAAGTCGTTTCAGTTAATGTGTTGTCATTGAGTCTTATTTGACAGAGGTATGAAGATTTTTATGCTTATATGTTTGGATAGAATTTTAATTTTTTCAGAATTCTGGCCGTTCTTCCCCCACCCCCACACCCTTCGTGAACGTGATAAGGTGTTAGAATAAATTATATCCACTTGCTGGACAAAGAAATCAATGGAGTGGAAAAGTTTAAGTGATCGAAAGGTAAAATTTGGGTTTCACAATTTTAGTTCTTTTGTCATTTTCAAATGCCCTTAAAAGGACATTTATAGTAAAACATTTTACGCACACACTCATGCAGATGTATATGCATATGTGTAAGAGCTGGGATGTAAAATCTGGTACTGTAAATGAGACTGACATTTTCAAAGTTATTTTCAAGCTACTGGGAAAACTGAAGCTTAGAAATGGACTTGAATTGTAAACTAGAGAACATTTGAGCCTTTGCGTATTTTCCCATTTATACAGGTGAACCTTTAAAATTGTTAACTTTCTTAATTTTCCTTAGCTTCTCCCATTCTGAACAAGATTCTGAAACTATGATGCCTGTGTCAAGGTGGTGAAGGGGGCCAAAGAAATGGATTACCTGTGATAAGTAATTGTGTTTTCTATTGATTTGAATCCTTATTTGCTGGGACATACTATTTATTCAGCATTGATCACCTACTTAGTAACAGGTGTTGTGCTAGATGCAAATGATAGATGATTGAGGCTACAAGCCTTCTTTATATGAACATCTAAAAGGTGTTTATAATGATGTCAACTGCAGGATGCAGTGTTGTATTTTAGATTAATTATTAAAGCAAATTTTGAGTGTTATGTGTCGGGTACTGTGCTGAGTAATTTACATCTCTTTCCTCAACAAATGGGTAAGTAGTAGTCCTTATTTTAGGATAGTTTTCTAGAAATTTTAATAAATTGGTTCCAGAAGATAAAAATACAGATCGATACAGTGGAAATAGAGAACAGTATTAAAAATTATCCCCTAATTAAAATACCAAACTTAGGAATAAGATGCAAACCCAGACTGCGGAATGTGGAAATGTAGGCTTTGTTCAGAAGAAACTGACCTATTATGGGAGTGGGAGCTTAACCTGTAGGGATTCACAACACTGAGGGTAAAAATGCACTAGAGGACCCCCTGTACCTCATGGAAATGGGTATTGGAGGATGCTTTTCTGGAAGTAGGAGAACTAACTGAACCAGTGCTAGTAGTCATTCTAGTACTGTCTTCATGGAATGGTACTAATGTGGTTTTAAATCTGTTGGGAGTCACACTACTAGTCAGTATTCCCAGACCACAATTATGTTTATGATACTCTTCGTGTCAAATAACTTCCACCTGCCCCTTATCTGAAATCCTCTTTAATGTGACCATTTCCTCCAAGGTGTTTGGGCCACTGAAACTTTCCTTTAAACCTCCAGTATGATAGTTTTCCTCTGTTTCTTTATGGGAACTCCAGCACTAATAACACAGCTTTTGCCAGTTATACTAGGAGGGTGAAGACTGCTTGCTAGAGCACAAAGTTAAACAGAAAGAGGACACAGCCGAGTAAAATGCATTCAGAACAACTTGGGGCTTCACAGGGCACATTGGGCTGAGCAGTTGTCCAATGTGGTTTGCTGAATTGGCCCTCGTGATCTGAGAGCAGATGATGGCACTCAAAGCATAACCAGTGTTGCAGGGGACAGCTTTAAATGAGCTGTGTGTGATCTTGTTGAGGCTAGTGAGCAGGGGTGTAGCTTGGTGATATGCTACAGGTTACTTAGGTGGGTATGAGCGGTGAAATGAGCAAGGGACTTAGATCCCAGAGACTTGCACGTTGTGGCTCCACCTTGATCTGTGTAACATTGTTCATGCCACTTAACCCTTCCTGAGCCTCAGTTTTTCCATCTGTAAGATGGGAATAAAAATACCTATCTGTAGCTGTGGGTATAATTGTTTGAGATAATGTGTAAACTATAAATCAGTAAACATTTCCTAGTTCAGATTTTAGAAGTGGCACAAAGGCAAGATAGAGTAGTTAGACAAGTGCTGGAAGCTTCACTTGATGTAAAGCAGAATGTGTAGTTCCTGAATTGCTGACAATATCGTCTTTCAAAAGATTGAAGAAGGTATGAGGGTTTTTCTGTCTGGATTTAATTGACCAAGGAATAACTGTTAAGTGGAAGTGACAGGACTTTTGTAAATTTATGATTCCATTATCAGAGACCTTGGAAAAAATTGGACATCCCAGAGAACAAGGTGCACTGCACTGAATGAGGAAAAACCAAAAAATGTCATTTGACTTGTCAGAAAAAAGACAAACACCATCCCACAAAAGTAAGAAAATATTGAACTTCCCAATCCCAAACTATTGGTTAATCATGAACAGGACCCTGGCTGCCCACGAGGCAGAAGCAGAGGTCAGGCAGTAAGGCTGGACCCCGGCAGCCAGCTTCAGGCAGTAGGACACATGTCTGCGAGGATTGGTGAGCCTCTCGCTCACCTTTTACATTGATTTTTCTTTCACCATTTGTCTCCATTCTTTGGTCTCTCCTTCGTTTTCTTCCTCCTAAATGACTGGTCTGTGCCTTACGGGGCTTACTCCAAATGGAAACAACTGACAGTATGTGATGCCCAGCCTCTCATGCAAGATAGGTTTATTTTAAATGCTCTTTAGTATTAGTAGTTCAGGAAAATGCAAAATGAGTGTTCATCAGGAAAAGATAGGGGGATTCCTGGATTAGTTTGTAAGCCTGAGGGCATTTTGTTCACAGAATATAGAACAGTGCCTCACACATAAGCATATATGAATGAATGAATGAATGAATGAACGAATGAACGACTAAACAAACAATATTACGGAGTAAAAGGCCTTAACAGTGAAAGTGTTAGAAATGGCACTGGAGGTCTGTTGGCATTAAAATGATGCAATGGGGAGCCTGGAAGTGCTGATTTCTGCTTTTGACCACAGACATCTAAACAAGACTTCCTAAGGAGACACATGGATCAGTGGCTAGTGGAAAACAAGGCATCTGATTATGTGCTGGGCCTGTTTCCCAAACCTAGGTGTGGAAATGGGCCAGAGGATGTGGCCAGAACTAAAGGCCTCTATTTCCTTCCCATTGGCACCTTGCTAACCTGGCTGCACAGAAGTGAGAGCATTTCAGTATATGGAGAAGAATGAGAGATGAGCAGGATGGCCGGGACTCCATCAGTGAGCAAGTGGGTCCCAGCCCTTTTCCCACCCAAGTTACATAGAAACAAAGAAAAAAGCAAAAAAGAACCATGTCCATGTGTGTGGCCTATGCATGGAAAGTGACCTTGCTCACTGCTGGATGTGGCTCAATAAATGTTCTATCATTTGAGGAATCAGATTAGAAATTCATGGGAGTCAGGGCTTGTGAGTATTTCTCAGATTCTTTCGACCCCTCCTTCCCGTTACCACTACCACAGCCCAAGCCACCCTCAAGTCTTGCCTGAGCTCCTGCAAGTTTCTGCACATCAGCTCTTGATGGCCTCCAGTCCTTTCTCCAAATAACAGCCATGCAAAAACCCTTTAGAAGCTTCTCAGTTGCTATTTAGGTAAAAACTAACCTCCCTGACCCTGCATGGTTGTCCACTGCCCATAGCCCTAGCCTCCCCAACAGCGAGCCTCATCCTCAGCTCTTCATTACTGCACTGGTCCTGCCTGCTTCTGCCACAAAGAGTTTTCTCTCTGCTCTTTACCTATTAAGCCTCCCACCCAGATTTCAGCCCCTGCATCACTTCCTCAGAAAAGATTGATCTGGGCTCCCTGATGAGGTCATAGCCACCCTCTTCTCTACCTCTCCCCTCACCCCCTAACTATTTCAGTCTTGAACCACCCTGGACAGTTCTTCCTTGCATAAATGTCTGTAAGGATCTGCTTGCTAGTGTGAGAATTGGATTTTCTGCCCACCCAGAGCTGCCTTGCTCCCCATTGTTTGTCCGTGTTGGGCACCGTGCTTGGTGGTCAACATAACTGGTGAATATGGTTGAAAAAGAGCATCCAAGCTCTATGAGTTACACACCAGGCTACAAAGAGAGCTTGCAGGTGCTGTAGAGGAAGCACTACCAGGAAGTTTGAGGCTCTGGATAACAGCAGTGGGACCAGAAAATGTCATGTGCGTTTCAAAATGGAAGGAAAGATGGTGGATTTTGAAAACAACAGCTGAGCTGGATTTCAATCCCCAGCAAAATTTTAGAATGTTCATAACAACTCTGCCAGGTAGGCTTGGCAGGTCTTACCATTAACTCCATATTACAAGTGAGGAAACTGAGGCTCAGACACTC